CATGAAACAGAATAAAATAAAGGGATTTTTGTACAGCACTCCACCTCAGAACTCTAATTTGAATGGTAAAAACCCCTAAAATAAAACCCAAAACAAAATTAAACAAGAATTTGTATTTTTTTCATTTGTACTGTCTTACATTTGTACTAGTACAAATAAAATTGTACTGCAACCAAAACTTTCCTTAAATTTTTATAGAACTCAACAAAAACTTTCCTTCTGTCATTGATCCAAATGGATACTGTTAAAATTACAAATTTGCCCTTGATTAATTGTCAAGTGTCATTACAATATTTCAAAATACTAGAATTGTAAAGATTTTCAGGTTTGTGGAATTCGATTGATGTTGCAAGGAGAACCAGAGTGTGTTGACCGTTTGCTCTTAGGCAGTCGTGATGGTTGTTGGAGATTTGCAACTGAGAGGTTGGTGAGGGTAGGTGATGTTCTGGGTGTGATTGAGTTGATAGTGTTATTACTACAACTCAATTTGATCGAGGAAAGTCTCGGCGCTGCCTCAACTACTACTACAAGCAAGAAGGAGACCCAATACGTCATCGAGGGATGTAGAGAGAGAGAGGAAAACAAAGGGAAGAATGAGGGAGAATGGGAAAATGAGAGATAAAGAAGAGAGAAGCGGTGAGGAGAAAATAGACCACCACTGTTGAGAGCGACAATCAAAAGAAACAGAGGAAAGGAAAATGAAAAGAAGAGGAAGAAACAAAAGATGGGGTATGAGAATAACGAGAGAGAGAGAGAGAGAGAAATTTGAATAATGGTCGAAAATTAATTGTATTCGACTATTCCTTGTTTATTTATAGAGAGTACAAGAATAAGTTTTATCTGATCTATGATAGATTTAGATGTAATCTTATTTAGGATAAGACTTATCTTACTAGGATAAGTGTTATCCTTTACAAAGATAATTTATAGGGATAACTATTACTAGGATAAGGGTTATCTACATGGAGGATATATACAGTAGAAGAACTTAATGTACAAGATAGATTAGGAGTCCTGGTTGGATACGTGCATGCGCCATGCACGTAAAAGCTATCGCTTACACCCCCCCAAGCGTAGCCGGGGGAGAAACGGTGAGCTTGTGATGAAGGACCTCAAATTGTGGAAGACCAAGGGGCTTGGTGAGAATGTATGCTAATTGATCAGCTGAGGGGATGAACCATACATTAAGAAGCTTAGCTGCAACTTTTTCTCGTATGAAGTGAATATTCAACTCGATGTGTTTAAATCGAGAATGAAGTGCCGGATTATTAGCAAGAAATTTAACACCCATGTTGTCACACCATATCAAAGGAGTTGTAGAGAGGGACATACCTAATTCTTGGAGGAGCATATGAAACAATAGAACCTCAGCAGCCGTGGAAGCTAAACTGCGATATTCTGACTCAGTGCTTTATCGATCCATCGTTAGTTGCTTTTTGGAACTCCAAGAAATTAAATTGAAACCAAAGAACATACAATAACCACTTTGAGAGCGGCGATCCATAAGGCAATTTCCCTAATCAACATCAAAGTAAGCAACAAGAGAGAATGTATGACATGGTTGAAGAAGCATACCATAAGTAATTGTTCCTTTTAGGTATCGAAGAATCATTTTCGCAGCAGCTCAGTGGACAGTAGTGGGAGTTTGTATGAATTGACATACCTTATTCATAGAAAAATCAATTTTTAGACGAGTAATAGTTACATACTGGAGAGCACCAACAATATTGCGAAAGAAAGTAGGATCAGTGAGAGGTTCTCCTTCTGGTTGTGTTAGCCGAGTGGAGGTCGACATAAGAGTGGAGAGAGGTTTGGTATCATGGAGTTGCGCTCGATGCAGAAGATCATCAATATACCTGTGCTGAGATAGATGAAAACCATTGGACGATCTATGAAGTTCAATACCAAGAAAATAATGTGTGGAGCCCAAATCTCAAAGAGAAAACTGAGAAGCAAGATGCTGAATTAGAGAGCTAGTGGCAAATGAAGAGGATCCTATGATGATGATGTCGTTCACATAAACAAGAACCAAAATGATATCAAATTCAAAACAAGAGATAAATAGGGAAGCATCTGCTCTGGATTCGAGAAACCCTAGGGATAAAAGTGAATCTCGCAACCTCGTAAACCATGGTCGGGGTGCCTGTTTCAAACATATAAGGATCGATGGAGACGACAAACATGTGTTGGTTTAACCACAGGGTTGAATGTCTCATCATAATCAAAACTAACTTCTTGAGAGTGGCCTTTGGCAACAAGATGAGCGTTGAAGCATTCAACCGAACCATCAGGTTTACGTTTGATTTTAAAAACCTACTTGTTGCCAATAAAATTTTTATTAGGTGGAGTCGGGATGAGAGTCCATGTTTTATTTTTGAAGTAAAGCACTATACTCATTAGTCATAGCAAGGACCTAGCAAGGATCCTTGTGAGCTTGAGAATAATATGTTGGTTTGAATTCTGGGAGGGGACTAGCAAGTTAAGCATACCTTGGATTTGGCTTGAAGATACCATGTTGAGCCCCAGTGGTCATGGAATGCAAAGAAGATGAAGGCGGCAAGGTAGAGTCGGTGGATTCAGAATTGGAAGGTGGCAATGCATCATATTGAGGCAAAGATGGAGAAGAAGAAACTTCACCTGGAGAAGTTGTGTCAGAAGCAGCAACAAGGGGAGGGGCCCTAATTGGAAGAAGTGGAGTCGATGTTGTGGGTGGTGCAGTACCAGTGGCAACAAGAAGCGGAAACGAATCCTCGTTAAAAATAACAATGCGAGAGATAAAAACCTGTCCTGTAGAGCGATGTAAGCAAACATACCCCTTGTGAGAATTAGAATACCCAAGAAATACACATGAAAGAGAGTGATGTTGTAACTTGTGCTTATTATGTGGCCGAACATGTGGGAAAAATTCACACCCAAATGTACAAAGTTTGAAGTAGTACAGAGGGCAACCAAAATAATTTCTCAAACGGAGAGCATGACCCAAGCACCAAAGTAGGAAGCCGATTAATGAGATAAGCTGTAGTGGAGAAAGACTCAAACCAATATTTAGGAGGAACCCCAGCACGAGTCATAAGGGCAAGGCCTATTTCAACAATATGGTGATGTTTGCGCTCAACACACCCATTCTGTGCTTGTGTATGCGGTCAAGATATTCGGTGAGAGATACCCACATGATTGAAATAGGTTTCAAAGGTCTTCAATTCAAAGCCACCATCACTTTGAAAATATTTAATTTTAGTATCAAAAAGTAATTCAACATTGGCTTTGAATTTCAAGAATGTATAAAATGTTTCAGATTTGCAAATAAGAGGAAATATCCAACTATAGCGATTGAAATCATCAACAAAAAGAATGTAGTAACGATAGCTCAAAACATGTGTCACTGGAGAGGGTCCCCATAAATCACAGTGAATTAATTCTAATGGATAATTACTAATGGCATGATTTCGGGAAAAGGGAAGTACACGGATCTTAGCTATTGAGCAAGTTAAACAAAAATTTAAATCAATACTAGAAACTACTGGTAAATGCTGAGAAGAAATAATTTGTTGAGCCACTTTGAGAGCATGGTGACCTAGTCGATGATGCCAAATCTCAAGACTGGCACGACTACCTACAAATGTAGAAGGAGACGAAACTATAGCTGATATCTTGATTGGAAGATGAAACTGATATAAACCATCCTTATTCGGCCCTTGAAGAAGTATCATCCTGATGCATCGATCCTTAACAAAGAATTCATGAGGATGAAATTCAAAATAGACATTATTATTAGTAGAAAATCGGGCCAAAGATAAGAGATTGAAGGAGATCTGGGAAACATGGAGAATATTATTCATAATCAATGATCTGAAAGATAAATCAGAAAGAGCCAAAATGAGCAATCGACAAACCAAAACCGTCGCCAATAGAGACACGATCAGAATCATCATAGTCAGAATGTATTTGCAGTTTATTCATATTCGAAGTGAAGTGATGTGTCACACCATAGTCAGGAAACCAAATATCTGTATTCTGCTTGTCATGTCCTGATGTAGCCATAAACGCTAGAGGTTGTGGTCATTTAGGGTTCTTCAGTCTGTCAATATGTGCAAGGAGTTTTGGATAGTACTTAGCAGAATAATTTCATCCTTCACAATTGACAGGGATTATTGCTATATTTGAAGGGCTTTGAGGATCCATTTCCCATTTGTGGTAGATCAAATTTATTATATTTTTTGGAATCCTTTCTTTTAGAGGCAAGATTCGCAGAAGGAGAGCTAGCCTGTGTAGATCACTACAAGAAAAACATTCTAAGTCGGCGATCACATGACCGCCGGCTTAGATTTAAGGCGGTGATCATTGGTCCATCGTCTAAGTAGCTACCGACCTAGATCAAGACTGCTGCCTTAGATACAAGAGACCATCGCCTTTGGTGGCCGGTCCGGGTGGTCATAATTTCATTAACGCGGTGGTCTGTCAAGACCGTCGGCTTAATGTCATTAAAGGCAGCATTTTTGACCGCCGGCTTGGGTTTTGTCAAAAATTGTTTGCTTCCTTAGGCGGCGGTTCGGACCACCGGCTTTGATCCTAATTGACCGCCACCTTTGGTTTAGTCCAACATCATTTGCTTCCTTAGGCAGCGGTTCAGACTGCCGGCTTAGATCCAAATGACCGCCACCTTAGGTCGTGTTTATGGCTAATCTAGTAGTTTTATGACCGCCGGCTTAGATATATATATACATTTTTTAATGTTTATGCCAGGTTAATTCCGATATTTGTTGGTACATACAGTTTTTTATTAATTCATCACTTTAATACATGCTTAACAAATAATTCATGATAATTGATACATGAAAAGTTAACTTAAGAAACTTAAATAAAAAATGCAATTTAAAACAAAATATATTAATTTAAAGATTAATTAATATCCAAATCAAATTGTTCACATGCAATATCCAGTTGACAATAAAAATACAAGGACTTTAAAAAATTCAATTTATCGAATAAGGTTCACATCTTCAAAAGCAAATCCACTTAGCGTAATTGATGAACCTGTAAATCAAAAAACATATAAATTATTAAAGAATGTAAAGTAAATGAGATAACCATAAAAAAAAATGTATAAAAAAACAAGACATTCAAGGAGGCATCCTAATTTAGCATTCTCATATCAATAAATGAATTATGCAACTAGTAAATTAACCAAATCAAATTGAAACCTCTATGGCATAATGTAATAAAATTGTAGCACATAAAAGAACATT